CTAGCTTGTCTGTATCCTTCTTAAATTGTGGTACCCAAAAGTGAACACAATACTCTAGGTGAGGTCTAAGCAGAGCAGAGTAAAGTGGTACCATCACTTTGCGTGATCTGGACACTATAGTTCTGGGTTTTTTTAAAATACTTTTTTATTGCTTTTCACTACACAACTACAAACGAAGGGGGAAAAGGGATACTAAACTAAAATTCAAAGCTAAAGCAAGTATCATGTTAGTTGCGTTGATATCATAATAGTCTTCCCACATGTAAAAAAATAAATAAAAGGAGTGATACTGTCTACTATTTTTTTCAAAACCAAACTAATACAAGCATAATTAGCCAGAGTAGGTGTGTCCTAGTTTCTTATATGTCAAAAGAGAATAAGGCTTTCAAAACTAAGGTATACATCACATCATTATCTCCTATGTTTGTTCTTATCATAGTTCAGTTTAACTGTTTAGGAGCTTCTTCTCTTTTCTCAGATTCAGAATCCTCTGAGGGAGCTGCCCAGGGGGCTTCCACTGTTTCCCAGTCCATGTTCGCTGTTGTCTTCTGTTTGGTTGTTGTCCTCTGCTGTTCCTTTTTCTTTCGCAGTTGTTTGATGTTGCTCCAAAAAAGTCTTTGCTTTCTGAACAGAATCAATCTTCTCTTTTTTCTCTTTATAGTTGAAGATAAGACTTTCTGGAAATATCCATCTGAAGGGAGTAGAATGTTGCTGTAGAAAGGAAGTTAGATTTTTATACTGCTTCCTCCATTTTCTTATCTCAAATGGAATGTCTTTTAAGACTCTCGCCTCTTCACCTTTGATTTTCAGGGTTGTCCCATTTGTCACTTTCAGAATTATATCTCTCATTGACCTCTTGGAGAACTTAACAAATACTTCACCGGGCAGCTTATTTTTCTTGATAAATTCTGGATAGGTTCTGAAAACCATATCCATATCCCTTTGTATAGATTCTGCTTTAAGATCTGCCACTGGGGCCAATGCTTCGCTTAAAATCTCTTTTAAGTTCTCACCCTTCTGTTCTGGGATACCTTGAAATCTCAGGATATATAGTGATTTTTCCATTTGTAGACGTAACAGCTGCTCTTTGTCAGAGAGCCTTTCTTTTTCTACAACCTCCAGCCTCTGGTTGATCAAATTTGTCTTAGCTTCAACTTTTTAAAGTGCCTTGACTGTTTCTTCTGTCTTGGTCGCCATTTGTTTCAACAGGTTCTGGAGAGCATCAAAGTTGTTCTTGAGATTAGTCATCTGGTCCAGCAGAGGGCGCAGTGCTGTAGCCAACATATTTGGAAAATTGGTGGTTACTTTCAGTTTGGGAGATGACATCACTGAGCTTGCAGTTCCTGAAAGAAGTTTCTTCCTAACTGCCATTTTATCTCCTTGCATCGACATTGTTTACACAGGTGAAATCCGATTAAGTCTCTGAAAGTCTATTGTTTCTATACACTTAGTATTATTCTGCATGATACTCGGTTAGTTGTCGCTTTTTCCACTCAAAACCATCTCACTGCCCTTTGCATTCGCTCATAGATCACAGCTTATTTAAGGGGGGAATAACTCCTCCCCCTCCTCTGATTTGGCTTGGGGCTTGGAGCGATTATCCACTTAAATGCTTGATTAGTTACATGAGAACTCACACTCACAGTTCATTCTGCGGATTCGACCGCACGTGGGGAGGCCATTCAAAAAACGCTAGATTGCTTGCTCGCTCAGCCTGGCATGCGCCTCTGCTTCCATACTGGTCTCGTGGCGGTGGGACCTATTGGGGCAAGGAGGAGCCTCAATTCCTCAGCTGTTGCCTCAGAAGAGGCACCCCTCATGCCCCAGGCAACGAGCCCCCTACAAGGGCTCTGGGGGCCTCTGGGGCACCCCTCCCATCTGCCGCAATTATGGGGCACTCACATCAGAGGGTGATGGAGCGCACACGTTTAGCAAGTTGCTAAAACTGGAAGTCCGACACTATAGTTCTGTTGATACAGCCCAAAATCGCATTTGCGTTTTTAGCAACCACATCACACTACTGACTCATGTTCAGTGTATGTTCTACTAAGACCCCTAGATCCTTTTCGCACATACTACTGCCAAGACAAGTCTCCCCCAACCTATAATTATGCATTTGATTTTTCCTACCTAAATGCAGAACTTTACATTTATCCCCACTGAAATTCATTTTATTGGTTTTAGCCCAATTTTCCAGCCTGTCAAGATCAACCTGTATCCTGACTCTGTCTTTTACCATATTTGCTACCACTCCCAATTTAGTATCATCTGCAAATTTAATAAGCATTCCCTTCATCCAAATCATTGAAAAGATGTTGAACAAAGCAGGTCCCAGGACAGATCCTTGAGGCACTCCACTTGTCACTCCTCTCCAAGAAGATGAAGAACCATTCACAAGCACTCTTTGGGTGTGATCTGTCAACCAGTTACAGATCCACCTAACAGTCATAGGATCAAACCACATTTTTTCCAATTTGTCAACAAGAATATTATATGGAACTTGATCAAAAGCCTTACTGAAATGAAGATAAACTGACATGACTTGTTCTTGAGAGACCCATGCTGGCTCTTAGTAATTACAGCTGTCTTTTCTAAATGCTCAAGGACTGTCTATTTGGTGATTTGTTCTAAAACTTTCCCAGGTATAGATGTCAAGCTGATGGGCCAATAGTTACCCGGATCCTCTCCCCCCTTTTTTAAATAAACATTTTATTTTTAAAAAATTCAACAAATATGAACATTGTACGTTTACCACCTCCGATCTTGCCCGCACCTCACCTGTTCTCCAAGAATTCTCAAAAATAATGGACAAGGGCTCAGAACTTACATCTGTGAGTTCTTTTAGTACCCTTGGATGCAGCTCATCTGGCCCCGAAGACTTAATCTCATTTAAAGAAACTAGGTGTTTATGTACTAACCCATGTCGATCCTAGGCTGCAACTCCCTTCCTTCATCATGTGCCCTGTTTTTGCCATATTGACCACCATTTTCCTTGCAAGAGAAGCAGAAAGAGCCTGGGTAGGCGGGGTGGCCGCGCCGCCGCGTTTGGGGGGCGGGGGGGGGGGGGGGGGACAAGGCTGGCCAGTCGCCAGGCCAGGGGGTGGGGCCAGGTGAGTGGTGGGAAGGTAGGCACCTCCTCTCCCTCCCCGGGCCAATCGCCGGGCAGCGGGGTGGCCGGAGGGAGAGGCCTGGGTAAGGCCCTCTCTTCATAACCTGTTACAATTTCAATTTCCTGTCCCCACAATGGTCTCCCATTGAGTTAACAAAGCTAATAAGACTTTGTCAATAAATGTGTATCTTGCTGGATTAAAAGGAATAACTCTATAGAAGGATGGAAACTATTTACTTTATTACATTTATATCTTACTGTTTTTCCATTATGGAACTTGTATAGCATACATAAGATTCTCAGGATGTCTGCTGTCCAGGCACTGTCCATACCCAATTCTGCTTAGGTTCCACAAGGTTGCTACGGTGTGTGCCTTCCAACCATATCTTCATAACCCATCTATATACTAATACCGAAGTTGCCCCTGGTGTGCAGATAGCTAAATCCATGCACCGGGGGCACCCGGGGGGGAGGGAGAGTTTTGTGCACACGTGGGGCGGTCCCCAGGTGTGCACAAAAATCTAAAAAGTTTTTTAAAATATCGGGGGGATACTTAAATCCCCCCAAAAGTGACAGAGCGTCCCCTCTGCATGCGCAGGGAACACTCTGCAGCCTCCGCTGCCGCCTTGGAGTGGGGGGGGAGGCGGCTAGGCCCAGCGGCTATAAGCCGTGCGGGCCTCGCTTTGGAGCAAGCGGGGGGGAGCCGACGA